GGAGCATCGACCCATATATATATTCATATATCATTATGTAGTGTGAGCTACTACCCCTTCTCTATGATGACGATGCTCCTATGATACAGCTGGTTAGGCTGAGTTTTACTCTTAATAAGTCCAACGCATGTATTATTGGGGGGTATTAAATAAACAGCTGTAGTACCCTTTGAGGACTTACCTACGTGAGAGGAATCGTGATGGCCGCGGTTGGGGGGGCTGGACTAAACTAACCCCTAGAAACTCTCATGAGTCGGTTATTGTGAGCATGGCCTTTTAACGCTCAACCCGCTTTGCTCAATAGATGAAGTGTATTGTGTGTGTTTTTGTCAATACCTGATTCAAGGGCCCTAATTCAAGGCTTAGTCCATTATGTCCCTCAGGTGGCGACAAACTCACTAAGGAAAGGTTCAAAGCCGGAAGCTACCTTTCCCGAATTCACGATACAAAAGGTTGCCCAACCTATATATATATATATATATGTTTTACTAATTGTTTTGTCTATATTGCCTTTTGGGGGGGACTGTTAGCATTTTCTTAAGGAAAAGGCAATTGTGAATAGTCCCACATTGGAAGTTGAAGAGAAGTTCAAGTGGTTTATAATGGTTCACTTCCTAATGGGCTTTGAGTAATGTTTTGGGCCTACTAGTGTTTGAGCTCTTTCTCCACACACGCGCGCGCGCACGCACGCCACGCCTCGCCTCGCCACGCCACGCCTCGCCACGACACGACGCGCGCGCCACGCCACGCCGCACCGCACTCGGGTTTTGCTTCTCCAGCTTTTATTTTTTTGTAACGGCAGCATTTATTATGTAACGGCAGCATTTATTATGTAACGGCAGCGTGATTTACGCCCAACGGACGAGGAGATTCAGCATCGGTTACTGGTTCATGAGGCTATATAAGGAGGCAGAGTTCATTCGGGAAAACACACAGAAATTCACAAAGAATTTCATAGCTCCCTCTTCCTCCTTCTGCTACTCTTAGTACTCAAAGATTTTCGGCTACATATTTTGAGGATTATTTTTGGGCAATCATCTTCATCTGAGCAGAAGCTCTGCTACTCGCGCCCGAGTAGAGAGGCCGGCCGTTTCCGGGGGGCTTTTACCGCTAGGGGGGAGGATCAACTACGCCAGGGCGACAGGCGGGTCCTCTATCTTCTAGGGCAGTGTATCACGACTGCACCCCGTTCAGGCCTGATTTTTCATAACTCATTTATTTTCAGTTAAACTAATTGTTTATTTTGTTAGCAATCTAGAAGATAGATAATTTATTGCTGTTAATTTAAATCTGAAAATAAATATATATTAAAAAAAAATATTGTTTCTGTTCACCCGAATTTCATATTTGTTTAACTGTTTTAATTTGTTAACCTTTTGCATCTAAGTAGTTAACAAATTATTTTACTGCAATAGTACTGAATTTTATATCTGTCAATTTTCATATTCAGTATCTGTCATAAAAAAAAAATAATAATAAAATAAAAATAAAAAAAAAAATCTTTAAGTGAACCGGTTCAAGTTTTCTTGGATTAGTTGGTGTCTAAGGAAA